GGGAGCGCCTCAGGGTGTCGTTTGTGGCGTCTCTGGGTAGTGGTTACAGCAGTGAGGTGGGTTTGGTGCAGTGGGGAGGGGGGTGTGTGGTCATATTACACGCCGTCGGGCCTTGCTCAAGGAATTTGTCTTGTGTTTGGGGTTAGTCCTTTTTTATTTGTTTGTTTTTTAAAGCAGCGGAAGGGGTGGCTGCTCTGGGCAGTGTTTATATCGATGTTCGTTCGTCCTCTTCGGTTGAAGCCAGTTAGATCGGGGAGGCCTGTTTTTCTCAAAAAACTTCTGCGTGTCTGCGCTTTTCCGAGACAATGTAAGAAGATTTAGAGTAATTGGCAGCCAGGTGAAGGGTGCGATAAGGCCTTGTGCTGTAAAAGAGTGTAAACAAGGTTTTTATTCTTAGAGCATATGGCCTTCTCGAATAGCTCTGCACAGCGAGATGTCTGGAGTTGCCTCTGCCCTAGAGCAATAGAATGCATTTAGCAATGTTTTAGTATATTGTGAGATGATAATCTTACTACATCTCATATGTATAGGTTTGGCTTTGAAATGCTGAAAACATGAGGCCATGTATAGCAGATAACAGTGTTGCTTCTTTGTTAGTTGGTGCTACAGTTGAGTATCACTCTTCTTAGGTTTTAATCCTGTTGTGAGTGTTATTTGTTCATGATGTTAGAACCGACAGGTTTCTGAAGGTTTTCTTTTCCTTGCTGCGGTGCTGCACAAAATTTCAGTAGTTTATGGAAGTGATCTGAAGTAAAATATCTCACCTGAGAGTTGAGTCAACATGGAAGTGTTTCCCTTAATTGCTTAACCTATTTCATGTTGTAAACTGAGCAAAGGCATTGAAGTCATGTCTGTCAAAGCTGCCTGAAAATAAGTTAGTGAATTAATTGACCAATGTACTGTAAAACAAGGATTAGGTCTAAGTGTCAACTATGGCTGTGATTCCTGAACTCAAGGCGAGTAAAGATTGGAGGGAAAAGCAATTGCAGAAGAGTAAGTGTGTCATTGTTTTTTGTTTTGGTTCAGCCCCATAGCATGTGCGAGGCAGTCAAAACTTCAGACTGCTGCTTAAGAGAATCGGTTCCATGCAGGAAAGCAGTGAGTCACAGATGACACTGGTAGTTCATTAACGACACGTGTATGATGACTCCAGAGGCCAATGCCCTTGGCTGTCCCTTCCAGGTGTAATTCACTGTGAAACAATTCACTGGTGACGTCATGTGTGAGAATCCAGAATTCTTCAGTGTTACACGTGACCCATTCCTGATATTTTTGTTGCTATTATTATGTTCACCTCTGTTAATACACAGGGATGTTTAAGGGTGCGGTTTGGGGCTCAGTCACGTTAAGGACTTTTCCATTGCCATGCCTCAGAAACAGCCATAATCCTTTGAAAAGCTGAAATTCTTGTGAGCTCGAAGAAAGGCTGGCTCAGCTGCAGAGCTACCAAGTAGTGAAATGGAGCCCAGGACTTTCTGAAAATAGTAGCTTCAAATTTGAACTTGTCCAGCACAAGTAACACCAAACTGATTCAGGCACATATGGCAAAACCAGTGAACCTGGAATTGATGAAGATGAGCTTGTGTGCCCGTGTATCTTGGTGGATAGCACTCAGTTACTCCAGAGATATTTCCTGAAAAATAATAGGTATCCTTAGTGCTTGAGATGTCGTTTACTGACATAGTAGGAAAGAAGAATGGTTAAGCATGGGACAAGGCTAAAGAGCAGGTGTCATCTTTGGCTTAAAGGCTAAACCTCAGAAGACAGAACAACAGATTCTGCTGTCATATTAATTCAGAACCTGATTTCTCTCATCCTTTCTCAGATGAAATCCCTGTTAACAATAATGGCATTTTTTTGCCTTGGAAAGTGAGAACTAAAAGGCACTTCATAAATTTTAAACACGACTATTTTATCTAACAGTGGCATTTGGGAGGAATACAGGATGCTACTGCAAGATAAAGGGAGTTTCTTGGGTATGAGGACTGTAAGAGGGAACTTTGAGATTGTAGAGGGGAAAGGACCAGAATGTGTAAAGTATGTGGATCAGTACACTGTTAAAAATACAATCTAGTGATATAGTATCCTGTGGAAATTACTGACTTTAATTGTCAGGAGGTGTTTATTATAACAACAAGTCCTAGTTTAAAGAATTGTACTGATTTGTTTTTAACCTCTAACCTGTAGCTTTAGCTAGCCTTGGAGTGTGTCAGAACTGTTTTGTAATCAGAAGCATTTACAGGTTTTAATATACTGGAAAACACAGTCTGAAAGCAAAACCAGTGTATTACCACTTTGTAAAGGAACTGTGAGAGTATGTTTGAAGTAAAATTAGGCTTGAGATCAAGGTTAACTAGGGCCTTGATTTGAACTGTTTTCGTGTATGCCCTCTCATAAGGCAGTCATGTCAGATGTTTAGTGAAAGCACATGGGATACTGTCAGCAAGTTTCCGAAACTATCGTCTCTTTCCCCAATCATGGAGGAATACTGAGAGCTTTTCCTAATTTCAGCTGTGTTCTTTATTGTGTTACCTGGGTCATCCAAAACTGGAGCTCTGTAACCTAAAGCTTCTCAGTTTCACTCCTAATAAACTGGTAGGTGTACACAAACAATTTACAACTTGACAAAACACCTTGCCAATTTTTTGTTGTACAGATTGGCACATGATTTACAAATTGCCAAAATTTTTGTTGATTTCCTGTGCAATGTTATTTCCCATGCAGTGCTTTGGGCAGGAGGCTAATCTACACCTTAGACTTGGTTTATGGGAACTATTTACCCTCAAACTGATCTTAATTTAAAAGTGGGCGATTGATTTACAATTTTAATGTCACTGCTAAGTTTTTCTACTTGTCTAGTGTGTAATACCTATCGAAAATAGTATGTCAGTGATTGTACAGATACGATGATTTTAGAATGTAATTGGGGGATACATTCCAGACTCTTTGATCTAAAATTACTTTTTTGAAAATATTTTTCTGTTCATTAAAATACTTCTGTAAAACTGAAGATGAATCACGAAGTAACTTTTTTTGTAATATGATGAGATCTACTGACTCTTTTTAGAGGTCAAGGTCCTGTTATTTGGATTATGTTAAATGTTAATGAAACATTCTGTTCTGTGATATTTGTAGCTTTTTACGTAGAAATGTTGAAGCATTGTTCAAGAACTGACTAAGAAAATAGACACTACTAAGTCTTCAAAGGGCAGCTAAAGAGCAAGGATCTGTTTGGTTCATTTGTATACCTTTGGTATTATGAGAATTAATGTGTTAAGGGGGGCTTTTGGAGTTGTGATGTTGACAAATACTAGTTTTGGTGATGGTGGGATTTGAGATGCAAGGGGGAGAGAGTCACTTGGCAGTAATGCTGTTATTTATTTACTTTTTTTCCCTAGGAAAAAAAGAAAAAAAGTAGTGAGGAGTCCCAGATACACGAGTCTGATGATGTCTTCCTCCCTCCTGTGGCAGAAGTGTCTTCTCGAGCCAGTAAAGTGCAAGTGGAACATCCTGGAGAATTTACAGAAATTCAGCTCAGTGATGAAGTAGAGGATGGAAAAACTATAAATGATGTGTGTGACATCCCCCAGAGTAATTTATCTTCAGCAAATGAAGGGTCTTTGACAGTGAATCTAGAACCACCCACAGATGCAGAAGAGTTCAAAGCCAATCCTTCCCATGAGGAATGTGGAGGGGATATTGAGAAGAGTGGAGCAAGCAAGTCAGACAAACCTCACAGCCCTGTGGAAGTGGTTGCGAGCGGATCAAGAAACTCTGATTTATTGAGTAGTACCTTTCATTCCAGTGCTGCTGACTCTCAGACAGCAGTGAGCTTTGTACAGGACAAAGGAACTGAAAACATACAAGAAGTTAAAAATCCTCTTGTTTGTTCTTCAGAGAAGCTTCCACTTAGTATCTCACAGCTCTCTCAGAAATCCAAAACACTTGTTCAGCAATCGGGATTGAAATCACTTTATCCAGACTTGTCAGCTGAATTGTCCTATGAGAGACGAACCGTAATAGCAGTTAAACCACTGTTGCATGATGAAAGACTGTATCCAGAGCTCCCAACTGAACCAGAACTGGTGGCATTTACCAGAGAACAGCTGAAAATTTTTGAACCGTGTTCATGGTTGGAGAATGTTGACTCCTATGCGGAAGAATTTGAAAGTGTTGCTCACCAGGACAGGCACGAATTTTATGAACTGCTCCTGAACTACATGCGCTGCAGGAAGCAGCTGTTGCTGGCTGAGACAGAGCTGCAGGCTATGACAACAGACTGCCAAAATGTTAAGGGGAGATTATGGACTTTTAAAGAAGAACAGAAAACGGTGCAGGTGCTGTTGCTGAACCTACTTTTGAACCCAAACTATTTGGATGTGATTCCAGACATTAATTTTACTTCCTGTCAAGTTTACTGTATTTAAGTTGTTTTGTTCTAAAAAAGATTATTGCTTTTGCTTTCTGTCTTTCCACTGACCACGAGTTCTTCATCCTGTTGAGACTTAAGACAGTTTGTTGTTTGATTTTGGTGTTTTTTTTTTTTTTTTTTAAAAAAAAAACTCTGACAAATGTAGTGTAGTGGGATTGCTGTCAGTGATCTCTTTTGGAGTCAGAGTTGTGTTTGTAGTCAGTTGGAATGAGCTGGGTACAGCCAGTTCTGCGTGTAGTGTTGGATGAAGCTTGTGCCATAGTACTTCAGGTAGAGGCAGGGGATATATGGTGGAGTAAGACTTCAGAGTGGCTGTAGTGGTGGTGTCCCGTCTGACCTGCTGCCTTTAGTGATGCTTTTCATTGACGTCATTCCTGACTGTCCTGCTGTCAGAAGTGGCAGCTGCAGAGAAGCGCGCGTCATGCTCATGGGTGACATTGTTCAAAACGTAGGGAGTGTGAAGTCCTTCCACTTTCAGTAACTGTTGCTCTGTAAGTGATGCTGTGGTTTTAGTGACTTCCGTGGTGGTCATGGTACTCTGTAGCATTTCTGTCTGCAAACCGGAGGGGTCTGGGGAGCTTTTTGGTGCATGCATCAGAAAAATTTCCACCCCAAACTTATTCTGTGTAACTTGTTTTTGGAGCTGGATGTTACAGTGGGAGTGAATGAAACTGTTCTGGTGCTCTGATGCTGTTTATAGCCAACACATCGTCAAAATTGTCCGAAGGTGCTAAGTACCTATGTATGTGGTGGTTTTTACTACTGAGGGTGCAGTGCCTCTCCTGTGCAGTTTCTCGGAGTTGAGATATTGAGAGACATCCACTGAGCAGATTTGAATCTTTTTCTTTTTACTGGGGAATGACACTGAACCTCACTGAAGTCTGTTTTGTGTTGATCGCTTTCTACACTGAAAGCAATTTTGACTTCACTCTTACATCCCCGCTGGGCATCATACATTTGGCTAAGCTTGCTGCTTGCTTTTTTGCATCCTGATTTACTATGCATTTATTGTATGTCCAGAATAATCGTTACCTTTATACCAATTGAAAACTCTTATTCTGTTAACTTAGGAAACACAGGGATACTTTCAAGCTAAGCTTCCAAAGTGCTGGCTCTGAAGCATGTTTTCTGGTTGCATAAAAGAATAACAGGAATGTTATGTATTGTGGTTTTCTTGTTCTGAAGAGTTAGAGATAGGACAGAGGAAGACTGGCCTCTGCTTTTAATTGCAGTTTGGGAAAAAGTTAGAGTACAATTCACTTCTGAAAATTTTAAATGTACAATGGGGAATTGCTATAAGTATTCAGTTCTGAGAGCTTAGAAAAATATTTATCTTGTTTTAGTACGTATTTTAGCTTTAAAATATCAGATCTGAATATTTATGGAAATCTGTAAACTGATGTGCTGACTGGGAGTAGAGAAACCTGATTTTGTTCACATCTGTCGGTGATATAGACAAGTCACTTCATGTCTGTTCCTAAATCTGAGTTATTAAGGGTTTATAGACTAATTTTTTCAGAAGTTAGGGATATGATTCTTCAGTAAAAGTATGTAGGATGTTGCAACATGTTTGTCTTTTCCAGCTGTGAAGTGGTCCCTTTTATAAAAGCTTTGAAATCTGTTGAAGGGAGAGTTACGTCAAGGTTAATTTCTGTAAGGACGCCTGACCCAACAAAATGACAAAGCCACTTCAATAAAATAATTACTTTCTTTTCAGGGTGTCTGTGCAGATCAGTGCAAAGTGACAGGTTACCATCGGTACCAGACAGTGGAGCTGAATGAAAGTGTGCTGGGGGAACTGAAAAAGCTGTTTGAAACCAAAGCAGAGCACGTGCATCAGACACTGGCGCTGCACTCGTACACTTCGGTGTTGTCCCGACTGCAAGTGGAGTCATATGTCTACAGGTTGCTCAGCAGCTCGTCCCTGGTGAGATCAGTGGCTCTTCAGCAGCAAGAACAAGGTGTGTTGCTGGTCTGGACTGCTCCCAATGTTGTTCAGGGTGCCTAGTGCCTTGTTCACCTGAAGTTTTGGAGTCTTGTGGTGGAATTTGTGTACTGGAGTGTTTCTCCCCTGATGCTAAAATCTGCTGATCTTATGTAGGGATCAGTGAAACTTTTTTCTCACAGGAGAAACTCCAGTTCTCTTAACTTATTCACCTGCAGAGTGGAAGCTGAATGCAGGAGTACCTATTTCTGTCTAAGCTGCATACTGCCACTGATTACTGTAGAGGAACACCAGGTGGGATGGGACACTTGAACTCCAATCCTTTGTTGTCAAAGTCAACATATAATACAGTCCCTTTTCCAAATTGATTATGCACCATTCTTAAAACAGCTGGGATATTTTTCCTGCTTTACTTCCTCTTGGAAGGCCATTTGAAATCTCGCAGCTCTAATACTTAGAAATCTTTTTGGTTTTCATCCTAGTTATTCCTCCCACCCTGATTGTTTATCCTTCCTAGCTGCCCTCCCTTTGCTCCTTCACCTCCTAGATAGTTTACATACATAGTAAATGGTGATTCTTACAAAGTTTATGTTAAGGGAAGGCTTTTTATGAGAGTAACCGTAGTATATTCTTCTCGTAATTAGCGTCCAGTGCTTAATTATGAGATTAAGTACTCTAAGTGTTCTTCTCTCTGATGTAGCAAGCAGCTGTGTTGAAATATCTTGGTATCTAGACAACAGAGAACAAGTTTCTTATCCTAAACGCACTGCTTATACCACTGCGCTGAGAGCTGCGCATTGAAGCTTCTCAATTATGTTTTTAATTTACAGTTTCAAAACAGTCAGAAAACCTTTCTTCAGACTTGGGCCATTTGAAGGAATGTATCAGCGTCCTTTTCAGTTTCACTCGCAGAGTTATTGAAGATCCTCAGTTTCAGAGTGACCTTCTCATGTGGCTGCAGAGACTGGTGAGGGAGTAAGCATGGACATAGCTGTTTGATCCAATGCATGGGGTGAATTCTGGAGTAATTTCTGAAGGCGTTACAGTTTGTCACTGACCCACATGCAGTGAGTTTTTTTTGGGGTTTGTTCTACTTGAGGAACAGAATCTGTTAGCGAATCTTTAAACTGAATTCCGTTGTCTAATGAAGTCAACGGAGGTCAGCAGCATTAATGAGGACTGGCATCTGAGCAGTGCTCAAAGTGGACTTAATACTCAATATTCATTATGCTTTTACTTATTTTGAAATTAAAACTATTCAGACTTCTCACTTTTGAGAAACTTCTGTTTTTGTTGATTTCTAAATAAATTAGTTTTTAATGCAATTGTAAAGTAATTAGTTTTTGTATACCAAAGAAAACAGTTTGTGGCTCGTAAGCCAAGCAAGCGAACTTCTAAATACTGTTCTCCTGTAACTTGCTCTGAAAATTGAGGTTTGTTAGAAAGCATGGGAAGAGGAATGAAAAAACAATATTACTCTAGTTAGCAAGGAATGAACCTTGAAATTATTTACAAGATTCCAATATACTTCCCTTTAGGTGTCTGTGTTGCAAAGAATTGGCTGTCCAGGTGACCATCTCTTCCTCTTCAACCACATCCTTCGGTGTCCAGCTGGGATCAGCAAATGGGCTTGTCCATTCATTCAGGTGTGAATGCTTAATTCTCTGTTGTCAGAAAGTTGGAGTGGGAGTGGAGTGGGTAGGGGAGGAGTGTGTCTTGTACCTAGTTATTCCCTCATGACTGACACTGTTTTTCCAGGTGTGTGGAATCATGCTAACAGTGAGGGGTTTGTCAAGGGATGTATTTACCCATGTTAGCCCAACCATGAGCAGGTTAACAGGGAAACATGCTTCTCATTCTTGGCTAAAGAGGCTCCATGAAAGGAAGTCAAGGACTTACGGTGCCCCTCAGAAGGCCTCATTCAGCAGTGGATTTTGGGAATGCTTTCCAAGAAATGGAAAGAATATTTAGATTTGAAACAGCAACTGTATATCATACAAGTGAGATTGAAGGCAACTCTGATGTTTAAAGAACAAGAACAGATTTTTATATCCTGCACATTGAAATGGGACTGATTTTCTTGGAAGGTTTATTAGTTAGGTAATTTCAAGGGCAAGTGTTCACTTGGTATAGATGAGAGGGAGTGCAGATATCCAAAGGCACCAGGGCATTCTTACGAAGAACATTTTTGCTCCTCCAAGAGGGGAAGATGTTGGAAGTCTAGAGATAGGAAAAGGGTTGCAGTTACACTAACAGGGAAAGGCTACCAATGAAATGAAAGAATAGAATAGAATCATTTAGGTTGGTAAAGACCCTTAAGGTTGTCGAGTCCAACCGTTAACCTAACATGGTAGGATCCTAACTTCTGTGCTCAACATCCTGATTCCCCCTGGTGCCCAGAAGTACACGTGAAATGGAGAGAAGATGTCTCTTTTTTTTTTTGTGGAGATTTTGATTTTTTTTTTTTTTTCCTCCTTTAATTTCTATAACGACTTCTTTTGGACAACTCCTAATATTTTACCATAGCAATACTTTCTCCAAGGTGTGGGTACTGTCTTTTATGGATACTCTTTAGTCTGAACAAAAAGCTAGTGAAAAATGTGAAATTCAGAATTTCTCTGATAAATCTAATTTGCCCTTTGTTTTGCTTATTTAGATTTACTTAGACTTTGCATTTAATTTCAGATCAAAGTCTTGGATAACCCATCAGGTGTTTTTCATTTCATGCAATCTCTTGCCTTGCTTATGTCTCCTGTCAAGTAAGTATGAATAGGATTTTATAAATATGTTCTGATTATTTAAGAGTAGAAAATGTGATACACTATCTATGTGTAAAACTCTGAAAGTTTATTGCAGGCAAAGTCATAAAAGCAGGCACAAATAAAAGAGTTTGAATTAAACTGTGAATTTGTTTACTCATCCATCTTAAAATACAGCCTTGGCAGTACATTTCTGTACTGTGCACAGTATGATGCAGCTTGCTTTCAGCTGTCAAATAGCTCGCGAAGTCTGACATCCTCTCATGTATTGTTACTGTGACTTCTGAAATAGAGGTCTTGCCTTACATGATGGCTTACTCATTCTACTGTCTCTGCAACAGAAACCCTCGAGTAAAAGGTTTGTTAAGTTGGTGTATATGCTGGTTGGGCTTATTAATTTATTTTTCATCCTTTTTTGTTTTTATCTAGAAGGAATACATGGTGCTTGGAGAAGCTAGTTAATGAAATCGTTCATTAGAGAAAACTGTTAACGTGCTTCAGATAAAATATATAACTTGCCCCACCCCCGCCCAAATTTTAATGTCAAAGAGTCAAACTGCTGGTATTTCGGGTTGTCACTGTGATCTTGATAGTCTGAGGCTGAGTTAAGTGGGAGTCCTGCTTACAGGAGCCTGTTGCTTTAAAGGGTTTTGTTTTCACGTTTCGTGTCCAGAGCTGCATGGGGAAACAAGTGTATCCTGAGGGCGTGCGTATTGCCAGTGCATTTTAATGGTTCTGTTTTGAACAAGGGCTAACTTAAGATGTCTGGAGTGAGGCTCTCAACAGTTGATACAAGAGCGCAGAGCCTCCACAATGGCTGTACTTACTGGTAAAAGAGCTGGGACTTGTTCCTGACATGAAGCAGCTATAACAGACAAGTTTGCATTTTGAATTTGATTTGTGAGGTCAGGATCTTAAAACTTATATTTAATTTGTAATAAGTTCATATTATCACAGACTCAATTTGGTTGGAAGAGACCTTTGGGATCATTGAGTTCAACCTCTGCCCTAACACCACCATGTCAGCTAGACCGTGCCACTAAGTGCCACGTCCAGTCTTGTCTTAAACACCTCCAGGGATGGTGACTCCACCACCGCCCTGGGCAGCCCATTCCAGTGCCTGATGACCCTTTCTGTGAAGAAATGCCTCCTAATGTCTAACCTGAACCTCCACTGGTACAGCTTGAGACTCTGCCCT